ATGGTCGCCGTGTTCGTAATTATAAAAATAGATAATATATTATGCCACGTTTGTCGGTAGATTGATAACGTTTGCCCAAAGTAAATTTTACATTTCTTTTAGACGTAATGATTATGAGATAAGTAAAGTAAAGTTTGTCCCACTATACGCCATGTAGGCGTTTGGGGGGAGTGGAGGTATAGCTCCTCTCTTCCTTGATCTTGTCACTAGATGGGGTCAGTAGTCAGCATCACGCCCCGGCCGGCTTTACCCCAGTCCGAGAAAAGGATGGAAGGATCCTGTTCATATGGACCTGTCGCCAGACAGAACACTAAATAATAATAAGATTAGGTAGTCTAGCGGTTAGAACGCTGGCCTTGTAATCCTGGGGTCTCGGGTTCGAATTTATAACTTGTGTTGGGCAAGGCCGTGGTCTAGGCAACACGGAGTTTTCCTCCGTGGCATCCCAACAATTACTCCAATCACACACAGAAGAAGGCAATGGCAAACCACTTATGGATCATCTGCCAAGAACGTATATGAACAAGTCCCAGTCCGAGAAAAGGATGGAAGGATCCTGGTCATATGATTATGAGATATTTTCATCAAATGGAATATTTTTTTTCAGAAGACTCGGTGTACCCATATTGTTATTTTTTAAACTTCAAAAGGAAAACGTTGCATATATTTACGAAAATATTTGACTCCTATATGAAGGTCATGTATTATCTTAATTTTATACCAGAAGTCCTCTGTAAGGATCCAGGAATTTGGTAAAGGAACACAGCATCATTTTTATTCTTCCGTTGCGTCTTATTTAAGCCGAACTGCATAATACGTGGCGTGTAACCTTTTAGATTTTGCTTGTTGCTGGCTGGAGAATGTAATGAAGCCAGCGAAGAATGTTGCTAATAGCTGTAATCATCCTCCATTTGACAGGGAGAGAGCTGCTAATAACAAATTTCAATAAGAGTTTTTATCGGCCTCACGACGAGAATAAGTAATTGAATCCAAGAAATCTTTTTTACATGTCAAGTGCTTTTATGAAATTCTTTGCGAAATATTTTTCAGCCGTGTTAAGTGGGTCTGTTATCATCACGGGATGACATTTCCTAAGCTTGTACCTGGGCGACGAGATCTGCCCTCCACATACAGAGGGTGGCTGTAGATTAATTAAGTAGTCGCGGACAGCTTTGGTGTTTGACGCAGGGGTAAGAACTTCTTGCCTTAAAATGACAGCCTGATATGAAATGTTAACACGGGGCCTCAAACGTGGACGGATTATTTAAAATTTAAATGTGAAGATAATATTAAAATTGATCTTACACAAGGTTGAATATTCGGATTTTTATACAGGTGACTGAGGGTGTGGACCAACAGTGAAGAAGGGGTTATGTCTTGATCACGTGAGCGACTGTTAGCTTATCTCTGTAGAGTTGGTCGCAATGTTTCTTCTTATAATTCAGATGTAAATTCGAGATGATATTTTTTGTTTTATAATTACAGATTTCTCCCTCTGCATTCGAGGAATCTCGTTTTGTGTTGCAATAAGAATGAAGGAAATGCTCGGTTACTTTCAAACAAAGATTAAAAATAATTACAGCTAAGATGGAGCAGATAATTCGTTTCGAGAAGCTTGTGATGGGTCATTCGGCGTTTTACTGGAACCAGACACTTCATTTCCGCGGACACAAAAATCTGTTTCGTTTAAGAATTTTGCTGAAACTTTGGCGCCAGCTGCAGACACTGAAGACATTTCACCTGGCCGGTTTATGAATCTTCTGTTTATGTAATGATTTCAAGGTCACTGCATTCTTCTCCAGAGATTTTTATAGAACTGTAAGTGGAATATTTTGTGTCTTTACAGAATATCAAGACTTGATATTTACTGAACGTCAGTGAACTACGAAGGGGGGGGGGGGGACAACATTCTCCTTGTAATTTCATTTACATTCTAAAAGCGAATGAATTTGACGGTCTCGCCGTCTTAACAGTATCTGTCACGTCTTGTCGCTGGCTTATACGTTTTGCAAACACCGAGTAGTCATCTTCATGCATGCGTTTTACATTTATATCAGTGTTTTCCTATGTGGATTGTTTATATTTTATTTTATTTATATTTCTTCATTAATTTTTCTTTGTGTATAATATTGTTTATATTTTGGGTTTGCCTGTATTTGGCTGTTATATTTAATACTGTACATGTATATGTTTAGTTAAACTATTATTATTATTACTTAGTATTATTTATTTTATTTAGAATTATTAAATTGAATTATATTTCTTAGGTATTGTATTTGACCAATTTATTTGTGAAATATGATTCAATAAATGAATGGAATTAATATCATTATTAATATGTTACATTTATATATTTATTAAATTGAATTAAACCTAAATGGCAGTCCAACTGTGAAACAGCATTAGATAAATCGGTTTATGCATTTCCCCGTAAAATATCTCGTAACATGAATTTTGGTCTTTTTTAGATACGCAGCTGAATGCATAACAAGATTGAAAAGGTGTACTCATTGGAGTACATCGACATTTCAATGGTGATCTTGATGCCACGTCACGTATGTCGTGTGTTTTTAGTGTAAAACGCGACAGTGAGATCTTCTACTCTTAGGAATAAGAATGTATGGATGGGAGGGAGGGAGCAGTGAGGATTGGACCAAGGAACTGGAGGAAGATTTCCAGATAGGAAACGAATGAAGGAAGGAAAGGCAAGGAAATATAAAGACGAGCAGTCACTTCAGATGTACAAAGCCTCGCTGGTGTGTCTTTATCTGCACGAGATGAGAGCTTCTGCTGATGTGATCAGAACATACGCTCCTGTCTGTCCGTCTGTCTCCGTGCAGCTTAGTCAAGAGGAATTCTGCACTGACGCTTGTTAGTGTGATTGAATGAGAGACTGTCAGATCTCGGATCACTTGTTCTCTGACGAGCGTTTCTATGGAAACAGGACGGAGACCTGTGTTCAATCCCGATCGATCGCCTCTCCAGTGTTAAAAAAAAAAGGAGTGTCTCAGCTGTTGTGTAGTTATTGCTCGTACGTGCTAAAAGTTCATTCTAGGGGAAACATTTATAGCATCCCTCGCCTGATATCGACTCGCTATTAAGCCGTCATGAAATGCAGATACTGTTAAATATATTCAGGGTAATAACGCAGAGAAAACGGAATTTTTTTTTTTTCCCCAAAAGGTTTTAACATTGCACGTCCCGGTTTTACCGTTAGCGGAGGCTTACGACAACTGTAGTACACAATTTCGATTTCCGGAGCTTCTAATTTGTCCACGTGCGAAACAAAGGCTGTTCACCGCTCGCCAGTGGCACATCGCGACAAAACACCAGGCGTCTGGTATCGAAGAAATGCCGGTTCTCGTAAACCTATCACATCATTGCCTTTGTAGATTACCGAGAAACGAATCTAATCGGAATGTCTCACCTCGTGAACCGAGTGGTTCATCGCGACAGATGCGGCTGGATTGTGTAACGACGTCTACATACTCAGTTCTAGATTCTGAGGACGTCTGTCTTTTTATCCCCGCTGTTAATGAGGACATAATTAAGGCTTTGACCGTGATGTTCTTTTGTTAAATCTTATGTGGTACCGCCTGATTCGACTTCTAATGGTTAAGTGAAGTGTTTTCTTCGCGGTACGGTCTGGATTGGTAAATATTATGAAGACGAGCTTCGGCTTCAAAGGGTTAACCAGCTGATTTTCGTAATGGTGAGGTGTAGTGTTTTCTTCGCGGTACGGACTGAATTCATAAATAATATTCAGACGATCTTCGGCTTCAAAGGGTTAAGCATCGGATGGACTGAGAACGTAGCCTGTACACCGATTACAGATAACCAACGCAAGCGAAATTCAAGACAGGATAGAATATAATTTAATTTTGATGGTTTTACAGAGGGCCTTTATTTAAATTCATAAAATAATCTGTTGATGTTAACCTTCCGGGTTGTAAAACCATGAGGACTTGACGGTAAATAGCAGCGTTTCAGGAGAACATACTGCCTTCATTTTCAGTTCTGAAATTGTAGGCAGTATGTTCCTCCGAAACGTTGGTGTTTTCGTACAAGTCAACACGTCGTTGTAACCCACGAGACAAATATTATGACGATTTTTAAAATCGACATTTATATTTCTGGAGATACGTACAAAACATCTGTGATTTTACTAAATTTTAGTATTTTCATATGTTTTATTCCCCTTTTCAATATTTCACGTACGTTCATTCTGTTCTGGAATACACTTCTTCAGTGTTTAATCTAATTATTCTTGTACAAGATTCTACTGTGGTTGAGTTGCAACGTACTAGACGTTTTACAGTCCTCTGTGTGTACCTAGTGAAACATGGAATGCAGTTTACATTTTGGAGCATTTATTCAAAGCTCGTTATCGAGAAATTAGTTCCATTCAACGGTCGCGCAATTACAAAACCCAAACTCCACTTGTATCTAGATGCAAATTTCCCTCGTTGCCACTGTGGTAAAATGGACATTTCTAGACGAAAATGCAAGCCTATTGTCTTTTTTTTTCTATTTAACAATACTTAACTTTTCTTATCGAATGTTCTGAATTATATGAAAGTTTGTTGAATACTTCCGATATAAAATTATTTTTAGTTTGTAATTATCGTTAAAATGCAAAAGAGCTTTGATTGGGCCTCAGAATATCTTTGATTGTCGCTAGAGTTTTAGATGCTCAAAAGTGGTTACGACTCAACGTTGGCTACATTGTATATTTTATGGTCACCTGACGTCCCAGCTTTGGATTTTTAGAATTAGTACTTTTGGATTCCCCAATCTGGTTAAGGGTCCTCATTATGGGAAACGGCAAATTGCTGACTCTCTCACTGCTGGCATTTAGCAAGATCTGTATTAGACAATAAAACGTTAAGTAACTCTGGGTTTGTCTTCCAGGCTGAGTAATAATTTAGTGAGCAGAATTAATATATTATGGTTTGCCAACATTTATTTATAAACATTAAGGAATTCTTTTTGTTTTCCAGTGCTGTCCACGTGGGGTCGACGAATGGGGCGGAAGTTGGAATTCCTTCGTCGCGTTGACTCCAGGGAAGCCCTAAACGCCACCCCGTCACCTCCCGTAAGCAGCGGTGGGTCCGCCCGCAAGAGATCTCCGTGGCGACTCGGTCGCAGTGCGTCAGATTCCGTGTCACCGCCACCTACCAGAAGCACTGCCGTCAGCGACGCAGAAAACACCCGAAGAAGGGCCCTCAGTGACGTCACAGAGCATTCACCGTCGCCTCTCAAGAGTTTCTTTATCAGGATGGGTTCTACTGGAATGCTAACCACGGCAAAACACCAAGTAACTCTCAGCTCCAGCTTCAAGGAACAAATCTTGCCCAGCGTTAACCCAGACATCCCAGGGGGCAAGGTGCTCTATAAGAGTTCCTCGACGTCTCAGCTGTCAGCGTCTTACGTTAGGGGAGAAGACCCCGCTGACGGGCTGGATCTGTCCCTCCAGCCTTCGGAAAGTACGAGCGATATTTCTGCGGCTGCCAGAGACTCGGAACAAGTAGCGAATAGTGTTAAAAAGCGAGTTCCGTCTGTCGAAACCGATCCCAGTTACGTACCCACGAAGACTCGAAGTTGCGACAACATATCAAGTCTTGGTGTGAACTCGGGAACGTCCGCTAACTCACCGTCTGCCGGAGGAAGCAGAAGGGCTCATTTTCCATACGCATTTTTGCGTTCGAAATTGTCTGTCCTCCCGGAGGAAAATGGAGGCAGCGTTATTAACCAACAAAACCGAAGGAGAGTTTCGAACAAGGAGATTTTTCAGGAAAACCGAAGGTCCCTCATCGAGCAGAGCTCCGAAAGGGCGTACAGACTGAGGGCAAATTCCGAAGAATGTGTCCCTGCAGCGTTGCTGGCCGAAGACACTTCGCCTTTCCTCGAAGGTACAAACACGTTAGGTCGTAGACGGAAGGACAGCCAAGAGGCGAAGTCTCACAGACGGTATAATTATTCTGTTCCTCAGTCGTTCACGGCGATGCCGTACCAAACTAGCATCAGCGAGGAAGAACCTCTACCACCAAACTCGGGTCAACCCAGTTTTTACGTAAGTTCCAACGAATCCGGTTACGACAGCGATGGTCCCCGGCACGGCGAGGAGTCCATATGCAAAGTAGGAACGGGCGAGAAGTGTCTAAACACTGCCTGTGACCAGGACGGCGACAGTGGTATAATCGCCAATGAAAGTTCTGACTCCGGGTCAATCCACGATTCTGACCTCGGAAATAACGAAAATGGCACTGGACAGAATGGCAAATGCAATGGCGAGCTGTTAGCGGGCGATTGCCCTCCGGTGCCTCAGCGATCTTCGACGCCGACTCTAGAAGAAGTGCATCAGTCTTTTTTGTCACGTCGTGATAAATGGGCGAGATCTTCCAGCATCGCCGCTCTGCACACTTCGTGTGGTAGTAAGGACTCGCGCACGGCCGAGATTCTCGCCAACCTGGGCCCCTGGGAAAGACAGAGGAAAACACAGTTCGAGGATGTAAGTACCCTCACGCGTCGGCAGAAATTCTTGACGTCCCAGTTGGTTGAGGAAACATTCGCTTTTCCAACGGAGAGACAGACCCCGGTAACATCACACCGCAGTTCCAGTGGGGCCCTGGAATTGGGAAGGGATTCAACCGACTCCATAAGCCAGTCACGAGTACAAACTGGAAGCCCTGACGTAGTTAACAGCTGCAGGAGACTTCCAGGGGCTTCCTCTCTGACGTCTTTGCATGACCGACGTGACAGAGACCTTTGCAGAAGACGCTTCATGCTTGTCAGACTTTCGAAGATGAGAGAAGGCGACGATCTCGGAATACACCTGGTACAACGGACAACCCCCGCTGACGGAAACAGAAATTCAGCTTCAGTCCAATTTATCATCTCAAAACTCGACGTAAAGAGTCTTGCGGCAAGGTAAAGTCTTATAACTGATATTTTTATTTGTTTATCAACTGATTTACAGACTTTTATTCGGGATATATTCTTTTAAATTCTCGGCCCTAGGAAGAGCTTCCATGACTGGGTTTTCCAATGGCTTTATTCAGTCTCTCTAGAAAAATTCTCGAGCTTCCATGACTGGGTCTTCCAGTGACTTTATTCAGTCTCTCTAGAAAAATTCTGCTAATTTATTCTTCCTTACGACAAAGAATCTGGAGCCTTCCCCTTCAACACCCCATGTTGGAATCCAGTAAGTTATTTCGACCCCCAGGTTCAACGCCGACAACACCAGAGCCCGCCACCGGCCACGATCATGAGCCAACTCCATCCATTTGCCATCCTCACAGCCCACGTCCCTAAGATCCATTTATTTAGCCGTCCCAGTGTCACTTCGTCCTACATAGACTAACCTGGACGCGAACCAAGGCCTCGGTGGTGAAAAGCCGACGACAAACCGCGTTAGATGTGGCACGGCCTAACGGAAGTTTCACAAACAAAACAGCGGTGCATTATTATTATGAATCAATCATTTGTTTGGTCCAAAAAAACCAAAAACTTCGGGCTTATTTTTATTTGTAGTGTTCTGTCTGACGACAGGTCCATATGAACAGGATCCTTCCATCCTTTTCTCGGACTGGGACCTGTTCATATACGTTCTTGGCAGATGATCCAGAAGTGGTTTGCCATTGCCTTCTTCTGTGTGTGAATGGAGTAATTGTTGGGATGCCACGGAGGAAAACTCCGTGTTGCCTAGACCACGGCCTTGCCCAACACAAGTTATAAATTTGAGCACCACCGGGAATTGAACCCGGGACCCCAGGCTTACAAGGCTAGTGTTCTGACCGCTAGACCACCGTGGCGAAAATCGGGCTTATTATCATCATTAAATAATTGTTTAATAATTTTTGATTTTTATACGAGCTGACTTGCAGATCAGAATTCGCCACTGTAGATAATATTAAAGTGGAGTAGGGTATGAGCATGCGAACTGATTCCAGGGAAAGTCCGGTGGCGAGCTATTTCAAACACGAAAAATGGATAATTCCGGTTTTGCAAAAGGCAGGAAAAATCTTTTACCAGCTTAGCGACTGTCAGCTCGTCAAGATACGCTTCTCCGTGGCGTAAACGTCTGCACCATCACGCAGATAATCCACAGGTTGAGTGCACCGGAGTCGAACCGTAACCCCAACTTCCTCGTTATATTATTTTTCTTTCTTTCTGTTCAAACTGCGGTCCGCGAGCTCCATTCGGTCATGAAAATGCCTGTATTACGTGATGTTGCATCATGTATCGTGGTAAAAGTTTACCGACGTTTCGTATGTGTTTGCTGCCTCGAAAATCTTTTACCAGCTGAGCGACTGTCAGCTCGTCAAGATAGGCTTCTCCGTGGCGTAAAAGTCTGCACCATCACGCACATAACCCACAGGTTCAGTGCACCGGAGTCGAACCGGAACTCCAACTTCCTCGTTACATTATTTTTCTTTCTTTCTGTTCAAACTGCGGTCCGCGAGCTCCATTCGGTCATGAAAATGTCTGTATTACGTGATGTTGCATCATGTATCGTGGTAAAAGTTTACCGACGTTTCGTATGTGTTTGCTGCCTCCATCGTCAGGGAAATCGCTTTTATGATCTATAGCAACACTACGTCGTTAAATGTCACACTGCACTGCGTAACTTCTTAGAAGACACACGTCTTCGTAATCATCGCAGTGAAAGCCTGAGGTCAGCCGTTCTATTCAGGTTGTCCGCGGAGACACTGCGATCACAGAACAATTACGGAACAAAAATATTTTTAAAAAACAGACAGAGAAATCATTAAAAGATAACTTGTCTTGTATTGACGAACTTGTGGACGGAAAGATAATGTAGAATCATCCAAATAAAACAGAAACTGTTCAGTGTCGAACACGAAAGAAGAATTAGACGTAAGATACTTATAAATTAATTGTTCATTTTAAATACATTGTAATATTACATTTTCGATAACGAAACTCATTATCACACTATCCAATCCGACCACTTTCATTGACATCCAGTCTTTGGTAAACGTAGATCAAAGTACAGGCTTACCTCGGAGATATTGCGGGTTCGGTTCCAGACCACCGCAATAAAGCGAGTCACACAAAGTTATGTTTATACTATACTGTAGTCTATTAAGTCTTAATGCGAGAATTACCAAAATGTGACGCGGAGACACGAAGTGAGCGCGTGCTGTTGGAAAAATGACGCCGATAGACTCGCTCGACGCAATATCTGCGAACCGCAATAAAACGAGGTATGCCTGTAATTAAATAACTATACGTAGTCCTCTTTTGAGTTGAGTCCCAGTGAACATTATCATAAATTTTTTAAGCTTTCAATCCTATCCCGTGCCATAAACACGTCTTTATCACTTCGTTTCATTACAGAGACGGACGCTTAAGGGAAGGTGACGAAATTGTTAATGTGAATGGGCGTCTGCTGCGCGGGATGACAACTGTAGGAGAAGCTGAGAGCTCTCTGGACAAGTGTTTACCTCCGTCCCCTTCAAGTCTCTTGAAAACTTTCCACGTCGACATTGTCATAGCGCGAGACGAACTGAATGAAAGTCCTTTCGAGACAAACGGACTCACCAGTGAAGAAAGGAAGATGTCGGACCATAGTATTTGGTCATCGAGGTCAACTACGCCGACATTTAGCGCTGATGGAAGTTCCACTCCTCAAACCATTGGCAGCACAGAACACATTACGTGTTTCCAGAACGAGTTGGAGGCGTCGAAGTTATGTTGGTCCAAAAGTGAAGACTTGGGCGATGGTGTTAGTAATCCGGAACCTCTTGGTACGAGGCACTCAGTTGATGGCTCGTGCTTTCAGACTTTGTCGCCACGTAAATTAGATTTGTGGTTACGAAACAAAAGTTCGCAGTTCAGTGACGGTCTAGTACAAATAGATCGCTATTTTCAACGTCACAGGGACTCTCAAAGCAGTGATTGTGACCCCAACACCGTGAACGGTAATAATAATAATAACAATAATTATAACGAAGAATCTGCTAATTATTCCAAGTATCAGATCCGTGACAACTTTGAGGATGATGACGTATTTGTAAAGACTCCAAGTTTTGAGAGTCCTTTATCCGGAGATACGAATTTTCAGACTCTTGTTAACTCCCGCCCGAGTTTCAGATGTAAGACGCCTTCAGACTCGACTGTGACACACGAGAATTCGCCCAAACTTCGCAGGAATTTTGCGTTGATAGGTAGAACCGTCAAATCTTTGGGTGCTGGAGGGAGACCGTCTTTTCCCGATTCAAGTCTTGAAATGAGCGCCAAGGATCGACGTCGATCAGTGGCGATGTCCAGTCCCTGCTCTCCCGTGTCGTCGCCCGGGAGTGTTTCCCTGTCCATGAGGCACAGCGCGACGTCCTTGCCACACAGTCGATTCAGCTCTGCGGGGACTAGTCCCAGCACGCCGGTGGGGTCGCCGACGACGCGCTCGGGGTTCCTGGCGACGGGCTGTTCCTCCGCTCCGGTCACGCTGCACGCTGCCGTGTTCGAGAAAGGCGTCGGGAAGAAATCTCTGGGTTTCAGCATCGTTGGAGGTCGGGACTCGCCCCGAGGTCACATGGGAATATTCGTGAAGACGATATTTCCCACGGGTCAAGCTGCTGAGACAGGAACGCTGTTTGAAGGTGAGGAAATTTACAGTATGCGCGGTGTCCTAGCTCTCTCAGATTAGTGACTGGACTTTGGAATGGACGCCCTTAGTTCGATTCCCTGCCAGGGCTACCACCACCAAGTACATACCATCCCAGGGCCATTCAGTACCGGGTTTTGGCCAAGGAATGAAGATGACCACTGTCCAGTGCCGAGGTTAAGAATGTGTTCTATGTCGTCGTAAAACGTGTCCGTACGTGCTCACAGCGTCCATCATTAGGTTTCTGATGATGGACGCAGTAAGAACCTCTGAAACGTCGACGCATGTCGCAATATCCCAGAAGACAGCCATCTTCTGATTAGCTCTCCGCCCACGCCTCACGACTTGAAGGTGTATGGAGGCGTAGAAGTATGGATCCGCGCCGTGAGAGTAGATGGAAGTGAGTGGAGAGGGAAGTATCGATCCGCGCTGTGAGAGTAGATGGAAGTGAGTGGAGAGCTTCAACCTGCGGCCGCTTTGGACTTTAAAAAAAGAAACGCTAAGAAAGCCTGTTTCAAAATTTCCAGTCATGACTACAGAATCTGAGGCTTACGTGTTTTTATTATTACGCAGATTTATAGTTCTGCAGGACTCGTAGGTTTGTTTGTTAATGGTACAGTTCATTTTATAGCTAATAAGTTAGCCTTGTGGACTTGTGTGGAGTAGGTCACAAGGTCGAATCCCACTTTGTGACATCTCTTTATTGAACTTTATAGCTGTAAGTAGTCTTACGTTACGAAACGTTATTTATTTATTATTATTTTATTTTAAGAAAAACATGCAGCGCGGAGTCTTCGTTAAATGTTTATGTCCACAGCCGATATGTTAGCGTTAGAGTTTGCATAAGTTTTAGTCGATGATCTACATACAAAGAAGTCCACACCTAATTTGTAGATGTGTTCGTTTACTGTCTACCGAATTTCTCATGTTAGCTGGACTTAATGGTTCATAAGTTATCTCTGTCAAACTAAAAGCCTAAGAAAATATTTGTGCGGCCGCCATTTTCCTCTTTTACGTTCTACGAAATGTTGCCTCAACAAAAGTTTTATGTTTGTAAAATATATATTATTGTACATAATTTTAGGACCCTATGTTAAGTCGCCACCTGACATGTTCGTGAATCCGCCATATTGTTTTTACCTGTGGTATAATTTTTTTAAAAAAATACGCGGTTCGGA